AGACATAATCAACTCACCAGGATCAGCAAGCAGCTTTGCGTTCATGCAGCGATACTCGACATTTTGACGACACGTTCTTGCGCGGTCAATAATCTCTTCCAGCACCAGCACATCGTCCGCCGAGTACGTGATCTTGCGTACATAGGAACCGGGCAGCTGGAAGCCGTTCACACGTACGTAGCCCATGCTGTCATGGCCTACGTATGTGATAATCTCACCATTGTCATCTGTAGACAAAAGTCATACTATTTTAAAACTCAAAAGGAGATTTGTGTCACGACGTGGTGGAATCAGATGCTTGTCAATTACAGGCATATGGAATTATTGTCAAAAATTCACCTTTCTTTCTTGAATCAAAGTAGGGATATTTGCCATTGAAGAAGCTGGAGGTCACCTGGTGTCAGTGGCAGAATTGGCGACAAAATGGCAGCCAAAGTTTGGAACTTCCAAAGCTCGAGTGCCATAGAAAACTACCCCACTCTGCCACTCTATGAAATCTCAAAATCAGGATCTCAGGGGATAAAAGTCAGGATTTGGAGGAAAAAAAATGGGATCAACAATAAGTTATTAAGATGACTGTTAAGCTTTTAAAATGTTTTTCTAAGGGTGTCCATAAATATATTAATATATATGTATAGAGGCCCTATATATATCTATCAGGGATGCCAATTTATTTTTGAAAAAAAACCCTGAAAATGAGCGGAGCATCACACCTCACCTTAAACGAACCTTGTAAAATCTTTAAAAGAGCAAACAAAAACATTTCTCTTACCATTCCCCTGCCCTTTGCAAGTGTACAAAAAAACGGAAAAAGCCGGAAAAAACGGAGATTTGGCATCCCTGATATATATATATTCATATTATATATATGGCCTCTGAGTGTATTTATGAGTGTGAGTGTGTGTGTGTGTTTGCATGCGAGTGTGCATGTGTGTATATTTTTTATTTTAAATTCTGAAGCATCAGTCAAGCACTCAAGTGTCTACCCCTCCCCCCTCCAAAGTCCCAAAAGACACTTCAACCAGGGTGCATGAACTCATGACCATCAACGGACAGTCTCCGACACACAGGGAACTCACACGCCGAAGTTATGTCACGTGATGCAAACGCACGATAGAAAGTTTTACTGACGGGCCTGACTAACTGCATGTTCACAACAAATGCTCGGACAAGCAACAGTAGTTGTGGGGTAACAACAACGGCAGACCGACCAGATGTATCAACAAAATTTTTTTCCCTCAATTGTGTTCAGACCAAAGCAACGACAACGGCAGAGTGTAGTCCAGTCAGCGCAGTAAGTTGTTTTAGGGTTAGAACATAGAACGACTGTCTTACGTCCGAGCGTTTGGTGTGAACGCGCAGTTACTAGACCTTGGACGAGGTTTGTTTTGAAAGTAACAGCAAAACTACGAATACAGTAGTCTCCACCTAAGATCCCGGTGCACGGGAGCAAGAAAAAATTGAAGATCGGGAGGCTTAGCGTACTGACGGCACATTAGCCGCGCCGCCCCCCACGGCTCAGCGTAGCGAATGAGTTAAAATGCTAAAATATTAAAATTCGGTGTAAATATATTTTCAATTTAAAACAACTCTTATAAATAACAATAAAAATTTTAAATAGTACGATTTCACTTTACAATTTGCTATAAAGGCCAATGGCCTTCAGAAAATTCAAAATTCTGCTGGGACCAACGACGGAAAAAATGTCTTGCAATTTCTTGCATTTATAACATTAAGCAGCAGGCCTGGCAGTAAGAGGGGTTAAACAGCGCCAACAACTCACCTCTTTCACAAGCTGCTTTGAATGGTTTGAAAGGTCCTGAGCCATCAATGTCAATCATAGTTTCTTCTTTGCCCTCTTCATTGGAGTACTGCTTGAACATGTCGCACGAGATATAGTTCTCCGCTGTACCGAGAAAATAGAGAGAAAAACACTGTACTAGCATGTTTCTTCTTCTTCTTTTCTCACTCTCGAGCCGGAGTACAGGCCACCAACGAGAGCTCTCCATCTAATTCTGTCCTCAGCTACAGTCTCTACCTCTGTCCGTCCAGCTGTATCCCATCTTTTAAGGTCTGATTCTAAATCCTTCCTTCAACTGCTGTTAGGTCTTTCTCTCACAGTTTACTAACTACTGATCTCTAACTGTTTCCAACTCATCTAACCCAATGGTGGAAATAAGTTTATGTAATAGAAAATTCAATTGTAGAAGTTTTACATTGTTTATGTGACTGAAAGAGTAATGTACTACCAACATTCATGGCTGCCTCTATCTTTCTCTCATTCAAATCTTTTTCTCTCTCTGTCTCCTTCATTTGTCGTTCTTTCTCTTTTTTCATATTCTCTGTTTTCTTTCGCAAGACTTGACCACACAGATCTGGACAACAAAAATTAGATGCAACCCCCCACCACCCCGACTTAGTAAGAATTTTATTAAGAAGGGCGCACGCGCTGTAAGCATAAACACTCCTTGCACAGGAGTTCCAAGAAATTTTTAATGCAGCTAAAAAACCCAACAAAAACCCAAACCAAACCAAAAATAAAAACCCCTTTAAAAAACAACTATAAACAAACAAACAAAAAACTCAAAAAAACAAAACAAACAGCAACAAAAACTTACGAGTGTGGCAGAGTTCTCCCTTGTATCCTGTGTCAGTGCAGTCACAGGCAAACGTGTTCCACGACTGCTCACACACTCCACCGTGCTCACACGGGTTCGGCGTGCACCTGCGCAGAAATCAGACAGAGGAAGAGTTGTAGTAACAGCCAGTCAGTTCTTTTGGCTTAAGACAGTTTTGCAGAACTTGTAACACAATGAATAAGGTCACATAAGTGCCAAAGATTAGAGGTGTTACGAGAGAATTTAATATAAAGAAATAACGAATGACAGATGTTTGCAGACCTGCTACTCCTTGAAACCTAAAAATCAGATTCAACCAATGTGACTGCCAAGCTGACTAAAAATTTTCCTGAGGTGTCAATAAATTTTAGTTTTAGTAAGAGTTCTAGTTTTAGTAAGTGTTTTACAGCACTTGTAACACAATAAGTTCATATAAGTGCTGAAGATTAGAGGTGTAACAAACACAAAAAAGACGGAGGGGAGATAAAGACGATAGATGTTTGATAGGAGAGAAGAATTTGAGTTTGAGTAGAAAACACAAAGCCAGTTATTTTGCGCTGGAAAAAAAAAGCAACAGAGACAGACAGAAATATAAGAGGGAAAGTGGAGCAGTACATCCTATCAAAGGTGCCCTCCAAGCACCCACAACCAGTCAGCATGATAAAGACCAAATTTAGCACCAAAAAAAAAAGAAAGATGAAAAATATATTAAACAATAGGATATTTTACTGTATGTAAGACTCTTACAGCAATTGCAACACGATTAAGTTACATAGGTATTAAAGATTAGAAGTGTTACCACTAGAGAGTAACATACAAAGAGAAGAAGGAGGGAGGACAAGGACGACAGATGTTTGATTGGAACGAAGGAAGAAACAACACCATAGCACCAGCAAACCACGATTCAACAGCATAACAATGATATTGTGAGAAGAAAGGCACGATTGTATTGGAGCCTGGTATAGAAAGGACTTAATGCAATCAAGGGCGTGACCTTGACCCCGAAGGCCAAAAGTAATAATAAGCAGCCCCCCCCCCCCCCCCAACAGCTGATATAACTCACCTGTCTCTGATGGCACACGTGCCCAACTGTGCCCCAATGATGCGCTCTTCCTTGTCAGCCACCAGGTTATCCAGGTCCACCTCCCTCTGAGCCACCTGCAGGTTGCGGATACAGCCCCGGAATCCATTGTACAGGACATTACCACCTGGGACATGGGAGAGGAAAGAAAGAGACTCCTTCAGTTTTAGTCACAGTTTTACGGCATTTGCAACTAAATAAGGTCATTTATGTGCTGAAGATTAGAGGTGTTACAAGAAAACAACAAACACAAAAAAGGAAGGGAAGAGATTAAGGATAATAGATGTTTGATAGGAAAGAAGGAGCAAACCACACCAGAGCACCCACTAGAAACTTCAATCTTTTAAGTTTAGTTTTAGTAAAGGTTTTACGGCGCTCGAAACTGAAAAAGTGTTATAATTTTTTTAAAGTAACTGTGAACTTTAAGAAAAGATAGAGAAGATAACCAATTCACTCATCTCCACAAAGAGAAATTTATTCGACATCTTAGAGTACTGGAAAAATAGAAAGCATGAGATGCAGGGGTAGACCATGAGCAACTAAGAGAACTTGAACAGATGGGTGATTGGGAAAGACCATGGTAATATCGTTGTTTAGAACATCCAAGCAGAGAAATGAGCGGCTAAACATGATCATCAATATAATCTGTTTTAGATCTAGGACTCCATGATGATGATGAACAAGGTCATTCTTCACTAAATCTTTTCTATTGTTCATAAAAATACCAACCTATGTAGTAGTTTGTCTCAGGCGATAAGTCCACACTCCTCTGCGACACCTTCGCATTGCGGTCTACTGTGCAGTTGATCTTGTTTCGGTCAACGTACATGTAGAATGAGTGCCACAAGCCGTCAGTAAAGGTAGAAGTAGGGCTCATCATGTCCGCTGGGAAAAGACAGTTGTTTGCTTATTTCAGAATTTCTTCTTTTTTGGGGGTAATTTTTTTAAAGAGTTCTAAGGCACTTGCAACATAAATAGGTTATATATATAAGTTACAGATATTAGAAGCAATACAAGAGAGTAACATACAAATAAAAGGAGGAGAGAGAAAAAGGGCGTTATGTGTTTGACAAGGAAGAAGGAGCAAACCACACCAGAGCCCCAGCCACAGGTGGTTGATGGCTTATTTCAGATGAAAACAGAAGGAAGAAAGCACATTGCTCAAAGAAAATGAAACAGAAAAACATATAAAAAGGCAGACTCTTTTGTTTTACTTAGCATTTTACAGTACTTGCAACACAATTAGGTCATATAAGTATCGAAGATTAGAGGTGTTACAAAAGAGTAATTAACACAAACAAAGGAGGAGCAATAAAGATGACAAATGTTGGATAGGAAAAAAGGAACAAACCACACCAGGACGTGGCTCAAGGTGAAATATATTTCTTGCCATTAATATGGGACACTTACTGTTTCTCACGACATCCTGAATGACTTGTCCATTGGACTGCTGGATAGTGTAGGAAATGAATCCATTCTCATCAACTTGAACCTGTGGATAAGAAATAAATAGAACAATAATAACAACCGCAGAAAAAAACAACTGTAGTAAGCTCAGATAAAGGGCCAATCCATAAAACGAGAAACTGCAGTGACACCAAACGCAAGGATGAGAACCTGCTGAAAAAAACATTATAAGGAGTGATAGAGGAGTTCTTTCTTTTTTTTTCTAAGTCATAGCAGGCATGTTCAAGCATGTCCCAGGTTGTGGGTTGGATTAAGCCACTACAAATATCTCGTGGGTCAGGGCAAGAGATAATTGGGAGAAACTGGTTGGAATACCTAAGCTCTTTATACATCGTACAAGTACCTTATACATTGTTTGATCACTTCATACAATGTGCAAGCACTTTAAATGCTGTATCTGCACTTTAAATATTATACTACAACTTTATATAATGAACACTCAACTTACAGCAACATATCCATTTTTGACAGGATGGTACACAAGAAGGCCATCATTGTCATGAGTTCGAAACTCCAAAGACACATGGACGACCTGACCAGACACTGTGGTGATGAACAGGTGAGACTCCAGGGTGGGGAATGTGATGGGGATCTTCGCCTCCACCTGTGGAGATGGGGAGACAGTGGAATAACCTGACGTGTACATATATGCAGAAAAGATAAGGGGGGGGGGGGGGGGAGGTAGGGAGAGGTAGAGAGAGAGAGAGAGAGAGAGAGAGAGAGAGAGAGAGAGAGAGAGAGAGAGAGAGAGAGAGAGAGAGAGAGAGGGGGAGAGGGGGAGAGGGAGGAAGAGGGCGAGGGAGAGAGAGACAAACAGACAGACGGACAAATGTTTCTGAATCAGGACAACGACATTATTAAATTACTACATCACTTGTACTACAGATATTCAGTTCATAACAGTAATTTTTCTATGCTTAAAGCATAGATAAGGCCACAGTGAAAGTTCAAAATTCTTCTTCAGCATTGGCAAGTCCATGAAGCACAATACTAGAAAACAGAAAATAAATATGTATTACATACTCAGACCCTCATAAACATACAAAATACATTATTTACATACAGGTTGGCAGCTAAGCAGTTGCAAATCATCTGCGGGGAACCCCCCCCCCCCCCCCACCCCCAGGACCCTCAACATTGCACAATAAGCCAAGATGGGGGGGGGGGGGGGGTCACTGGGGTGTGTCATTGAGCAACACACGACAACCCTGGGTCAAAATACAGGGCGCTGCACCGTGGCGACCGACAATGGCATGTTTGTAACTTGTTCAGTACCGTGTAATATCGTGTATTAAAAATTTATGTATGTATTTGTGCATGTGTTTATGTATTTATGTATGTAAGTATGTATGTACGTATGTATAACGGATGTATGTTTGCCATTGTAAACCAAATTGCCCTTCTGGGATCAATAAAAGTGTAATTTAATTTAATTTAATGAATACATTTAAAGCAGTTCAGAAAAAGGTCAATTGTGTCATGATGCAGTAGAATCAGGTGCTCGTCCATTTTTAGGCATATGGAGTTATTGGTATCATCTTAAAGGTTGTTCATTTGCCTTTCTTTTGACGTAAAAAAAATCCATTATCTTGAATAGAAGTTGACATTTTTACGATTGAAGGAGGTTTTCAGAGCTAAAATTATTGAGAAAATGGCCACAAGTTTGGTGATTTCCATAGCATAAGAGTTCTTGGAAACTGAAAATTTAAATTTGCTACGCTTCAAATCAACGTTTTCCCTTAAAATCCACACATATAAGTGTTTTTGAATTGACATACAAGGTGCTGAGCCAAAAAACAAAAAAATGGAAAAAAATTTCCACGCTAATCTCGGATTTCATTATTTTGACCAGCGCCTGATTTCACCACAATGCCTCATAATTGTACTTTACTGTTACAACAAACAGTGTGGATGAATAGAGTAAAAAAGACCCTTCAAAGCCACAATACGACGATCTATAAAGAAACACAACTGGCTCACTTTCAACAATTAATCTCCCCTCGACTCTTAGCGGCACAAGAACACAGGAAACATAAAAATGTAAGTACAAAGACTATGATATTCAAAGACTGCAATACGTACACCACAGTACGGTCCGACATTGTTTTTGATAGACACAGTGGGAATTCTTCTTTCCAAGGCATCAGGAATCAGCTTGGCGCCATTCAGATTTATGTTCTGAATGCATCCATCAAAGTTGTACTTGACACTTATTCCATCTTGATTGAAGTATGGAACACCCCCAATGAACAGCTGAAATATAATTACACGTCGCAGGATCAAAATTGAAATTCATACAAAACCATGATTAGATTCATTTCTAGATAAAAAAAACTCAAGTGCATGAATAAAAAGAGCACACAGTTAACTCTTTGAAATCCATCAGACACTAGGAGCGTCTGACGGTAATAACCGCTGGGAGCGTCCAGTACTAGTGACAACTGTTTAATTTCATTTAGTGCTAGTTTTTGCTTGTTTTTCGGAACTATTCCCGAACCAATAGTAATGACTAAGCCTTTGTTTCCGCTGTTTAGAAGTTGGAGGCAAGCTTTTGGGGTTATAATGAGACATAGTGCATTAGGTTTAGGTGACTGTAAAAAAAACCTCCGGGAAACTGTAAAAAAACAACTCAGGGCTAAACTCTTTTTATCCTGGCCGTACCCCCACGGACTCTGTCTCCGTCCTGGTGCTGCCGCGCCAAACGAGTTGGAATTCAGTGTGTATATTCAAAGTGCTGTATTTCTTACATTGACTCTTAGGTGTTAAGGAAATTTGACAGTTATGTTAGAAATTGAATGTTTTTGTAAATGTATGTGGCTAGGAATTACACCAATTGCAGAATGTAGATTTTGAGGTGTTTTCCACCTTCCAACTTGACCTCGATTGCTGCGCACACGACATCCCATTCGATTTTATAGATCTAGCCCTATCCATCGATACAACACAAATTACAGTACTGACCCCTTTACCATGATCTGAATCGCTATTAGATCTAGATGAGTCTTAGTCCTGTTATCATCCACAATGGAATTTACAGCACCTGATTCAGAGTCACTTTCATCAAATTAGTCTCAATCCCCCTCACAACCCAGCCCCCTCTTCAAAAGTACTTCGTCGGTCGTGAACATGTACTTTCGCGACATCTTTCAAGCTTCTACACTCACCAAAAACAAAGAAACCGCTGTTCAGTAGAAAATTTAAATATTCAGACAGAGCTAGCATCGCTGTATTTGTGTATATGGATTATTTTAAGCAGAACTAGCTTCTTTGACATGACCATATAGCTGTTCCGAGTTTACTTGTAGCCCGGACTGATCCTCATTATGAGTATACTCGTAGCCCGGATAAAAAGAGTTGAATTAAGCCTACTGGAAGACAAAATAACTTCAGCAGACCTGTAACACTCTGGAATAATAACTTTCAGGAAAGCATACACAATATCAGTCATCCATGCTGGGAAAAAAGTAATGTAGGCAGGCAGAAACAATAGAGGAAAAAAGGGGAAATTAACCCATTCCACTCGTTTGAACGACACGTCTACTCACAAATTTATCCAGGTCCAGGCGGAAGAAAAGACCATTGGTCTCTAGCTTGTTGATGAGTCGGTCAACAACCACCTTCAACTTCTTCCTGTCACGGGTGATTATAACGTCGTGCCACTGGTTGTCATCCAACAGACTACCCGCCCGCACCTCCGTGAAACCACCAACTTTTACTGTTGAGCCTGAGCAAAAAGAACAACACATTCCGTCATTCAGCAAATTAACATCAACGCCAATTTCTTCATACTTTTAAGTCCAAGCAAAAATTCTTTAAAATATTGTACATCAGTTCATGAGCATCAGGAGTTACCATACACCCTCGTAATGAAGCTACTACTTTAACACCTACAGTACCGATGGCTCAAGCAGTGAAAAAACCCTCAAGTACCGCACCAGTTTAGAACACAGCAGCCATGGTAGAGTTATTTCTTTTTAATTTAAAAAAACAACAACCTTTGCAGCCCAAGAAAAACGCTTTAAAAGTTCGCTGAGTTTCATCAACCATTCTGCTATCAAAAAGACTTCCATTGGTATTTACTTCAGTGCAGTGAATACGTTCATTGTTTAAATATGTTTAGTGTGCCTGGTCGAGTCAGCAACTAAAGTCGCCAGCAGTAATGAGGCATACTACGGCCTGGCGACTAAAGTCGGTACTAAAAGTGTTAAATATTTGGCTCACACAATGCAAAACGAAACTATAATGACACTAGTGACATAGAGATAATGACCTGCTCAACACAGAAGAAGTAAAAGAGCCATTCTTTTTTTTTTTTTGGTAGAGGCAACCTTCTAACAAAAGTCTTTTTAAAAATCCATCTCTATCGCTGTTGGAACATATTCACCATGTCATAATCCACTCGATACGTGTATCATTACAGTTTATTGAAAATTGAGTGCATTGTAAGACAGGAAAACTTTTTGGGGGGACAGACTTCGCACGTAAATCTACTCTAGTAGATGCTCCCCTCTCAAACCATATCATGACATTTGAATATTCGTATTACCTAAATCAATTTTGAAGTACAGGTATCCACGTCGCATCTCCAGCATCAAAAGGTCGCCTTGGTTACCGCTTGCATAGAGTATGACACCATCCGGTTTGCTAGTGCGGAAACGAAGCTCAAGTAGATCCTCAGTTGTCTGCACGGCCTGACGACTCATGTCAAACTCAATGAAGCTCTCTCCATCAAAAGAAGCTGTTTCTGGTTCTGGGAATTGCAATATAAAATAAACAGGTGAACCTGACCTGCTCTAATGGCCAATGTTCAAGACTGTCACTTGTACATACCCCC